CCATCACCGACCATCAGACTTCTAGACGGTTGAATTAACAGTAATCAGGCTATCTTAATTTCTAAGTTTTCATCCAACCTGTTAACAGGAATTTTGAATTGTAGAATTTTTTATTTTGTATCAGCAGATTTATTCCATTTTTTGTATGTTAGCAGGATTTCTTAACTTTTTAGTTAGCATTTTTAGATAGGATTTTTAGATTTTTCATTAAGAGTTTTAGTGAATCCATCTGTTTAGCCAAAATGACAGAATTTTTAAATTACCAATGACAATTTTTGGATTTTCAGTGAGAATGTATTAAGTTAATATTGAAAATATAAAAATAATAGTATTTTATATAATGGTACTTATACTTTATTAAAAATGAAGTTATGTTATAAATGGAAACTGAAATCAATGTTTGGAGACGTTTTGCAAACCTCGTCTTTAGACTAATAAGCTCTTTCTTGAAGTCATTGTTCGATATTCGAAGGGAGAGAGACAAGATGCGTCCCTTTTCGAAGTTAGTTTCAACACAAATAACCCTACGGTCAAGATCCCCCGTTCCCATCACCCCTTTTTGCTCGAAACTAAAACCCGGATGGTGAAATTGATAACGAATTCTATTTGTCTTGGGCAAGTCTGAAACAATCATTCTCTCCCGTCTATATTTTTCTATTTTTGTCTGTTACGAACATTCATCAAAAAATCTTTCTCAAACAAATATCCTGATGATACGTCATAGTAAAATCCGCAATATTTCAACGTCCCCGCCGCAGGCCCGGTCAATATTTCACTGGTCTGCCGGAGAAAAGGTTCCCCACATATGTTTATTTACATGTACACCCACACGTTGAGAGCGCCCCTTTGGTAAAAGCGGACATTGCCGGCATACGCAGACACTTTCTTCCATCGAAAAATATACCCACTCAACCCCCAGGCTACCCTCCGGTCTTCTTCTTAGATCGCCCCCAACACTACATTCCCCACACACACTGGAAACCCGCAAAACATACGTCAGCAGATATTGATGGCAGCCGAAAGCGAGTGTCAAAATCCGAGAGGTGCATAATATATAAATTTGTATTATTTGCCGAGAAACCCCGGTTTACGTAATGGCCACCCCTTTTCAGGACGTGGTGGTTTTCTCGAGTCCATCATCGAAGTGTAGCACTTTATACTTAGAATGGGGACGGCACTCTCCGACTGTCATCTACGTTCCGTGACCTAGATTTCATTTAAAAAACTGTTTTGTTAACTTGTAATGGACTACATCGAAGTTCTCAAGAAAACATCTTATAAATTCGTCCTTACAATATTATAATGATACCACCTTAAAAATAATATAAGTATGTGCTGCGCTAACGATGGTGAAATCAAAGATGCTCCTCTCACTAGCTATAGCCCTCAAAACGTCGGATCCCCCGAAAACCGGATCGTAGCTAATGAGGATGTGTTTAGCGAAGCAGAGCCCCCATTGGGGGGGTAGAAAATGGGAGGTTTTAGAACCAGCTTAACAAGGTCCCTCGGTCCGGCAAAGAAGAAGAGCTCCCCTCATTAATGTAAAGTAGAATTGATTCTGCTTCGTAGAGCGACGGGAGGAGAGCGGGGGTCCGAAGGTAGAACCGGGGGTGGACGACGACGACTACGGTGGGGTCAACCACCAACCCTCGGACATCCGAGTGCGCGCGCACCTTGACCGCTGGACAACCCTGATCGATAATAAGAAGATTGCAAAGTAAGCGAAAGTCCCGTCCGTGTTCTCTTTCCCCTTCGCTCCCCTAGTTTGATCCCAAAACGAGAAAAGAAATAGGGGATGAAATAGGGATGATTATGATGATGAAAATTGCTTTGTTTTTTTTTAATTGTTTAAAATTTTTTGAATTCGAATTGAAATCGAAATTGATTCATTACAACCCCTTAAATAATAGTAACCGTTTTTTACAACCCTTCGCGTTCGTACGTTCAACTTTAAAAAAAAAGAGTAATAACAGATGCTCAACGTACGGTTTCCATTTTATACATTTTCTACCTGCAGTCAGGTAAAATCAACCCTTTCAGTCGTTTTTCAGCGGTTACCGTGCGAAAAAAATTTACCTTGCCGTGGATGTTACCCTTAAATCGTTAAAACCTTTAACGTTAGAGAACCTTTAACGCTACAGTTATTCCGTTTCGCCGATTGTAAATTATCGATTCCGGTCCACGTCAGGTTTATGTACCGGAAACGTAATTTTTTTCTATCGATCCCGAACTACTAGCTGAAACAGACGGGGATTTATGGCTTCATTTTCTCTGAGCCGGAGGGTTAAGAGGAAGAAGGAGGGTGGTCTGGACGCGTGCCGGACGTTGCTTTTAAGGGATGACTCGACCAGTGAGGGACGGTCTGCTTCGATGACCACCCCTTCTCTGAATGGTCAAGCAATTCTCCCCTCTTTGAAAAGAAAAAAAAAACTATGATGGACATGCGCCAAAAAAAAAATAAACTAAATATCTTTATTTGTGATTAGTGATTAAGATAAGTTATTTTTCTCATTTCTGGATTTTGTGGTAACATTTTATGAGATTTACTTGAAATCGTATTTTTGAGATTTCTTTACTTTTCGAAATTCACTTTCTCGTTGAAGGGATTTCTGGAAATGAGTTCTTTACTTTTTTTGCATGCCTTTATTATGTGTTATTCGATTGTTACATCTGTTGTACCGATTTATTCCAGTTGCTTTTATTCCCGTCTTTTTATTCGGTATCGTGGTGAGTTGAAGCTCGTAAAAACGTTACATTAAAATTTGTAATTTTAACAATTGCAGTTCCAAATCGAATCAATAAAAACTGTTTAAAAATAGTAACCGGTTTCGGGATAGGTTAAAGCCTATTGTTTGAAGCCAAAACAAATGGGGTTTCCATTCTTTGAGATAATGACAGCCATAATAAGGAACCATCTGTTCATATATACTATTGTGAGTCTTTCGGATACAAACGCGAATAAAAAGAAAATACAATTAATGTCTTCATCTTCACACCAGTATATCTATTCTTGTTGAAAGATTAGTATAAGATATGATCTCTGCACCTGATGCGATAAACATGCTTATTTTAAACTTTTAAACTAAAGCATGGATTAGGCACATCACTGCAATAACTAACATAGAAAAAAACTAATGAGGTACAAATATGCTACTCTAATTCGTAAGAAACAATATTTTTACTACTATAAAGTGTCTTAAACGAACCACACCAAGACTTTTGGCAGAAATTTAAAATACCAATATTACTTTTAATTCAATTAACGCATACACTTCTTACTAAATAGGATAGCTTGCATTTTATTGGGATATATCATTAGACAGCTTGGATGTTTATTGGAGCAATTACCATTTGTATTTCATTAGTTATGTATTGTTGTGAGTCAAAATGGTTGTAACATGATAATAAATAGATAAAATTTGTTGATCTATTTCAAAACAATTTATTAAGAATTAAGCTGAAATGATTTTCAGAAACTTCTAAGGCTCTAAAATGTGGAAATGGCTGATTGACCTAAATCAAAATGATTCTAAACAATCAAAAACAACTCTAAAATACTTAACAAGGACGAAGGAATTTTATACGTGTTTTAAAGATACCAGAAAATAGAAAATGTCTGTTGGTGAATATCAAAATTGTACAAATCGATTATAAATACCTTTATTTATTATAAAATGGCAAAATAGGTTAATAACATTAAGCGGGATGATTTCCAGAAAATTCAAAGACTTAAGAAAATGGAAATAGCTCATTGGTACAAATCAAAATGGTTCAGATCGATTAAAAGCATCCCTAAAATACTTAATAAGAATTAAGGGTTTAAAATATTCGTTTTGATGTTTTAAAAAGTCTTTTAAAGATAACAGGAAATAGAAAATGTTTTCTGGTGGGTGAATCGATTATAAATGCCTTCATTTAACATAAAATGGCAAAATAGGTTAATATCATTAAGCGGGGTGATTTCCAAAGTATTCTACGACTTAGAAAAATGAAGATAGCTGATTAGTATGAATCAAAATGGTTTAGATCGATTAACAGATTTCCAAAATATTCTACGACTTGAGAAAGTGGAAATAGCTGATTGGTATGAATCAAAATGCATCCCTAAAATGCTTAACAAGGATGAAAGGATTAAAAACATTGAGACTGGTGTTTTAAAAAGTGTTTCAAAGATACTGGGAAATAGAAAATGTGTGTTGGTGGGTGTCAAAATTGTAGAAATCGATTATAAATACCTTCATTTGTTATAAAATAGCAGGTTAATAAAATTAAGCTTGATATAAGCACGAAGGGTTTCATGGCCGGTGTTAATTAAACTTAACCTAGAACTAACACTAGATTAGAACTAGAGATTTTTAGGTTAACCCGTGCGTCTTTTGAAAAAGTGTTTAACGTTTCGGATGCCATGTTGCAACTTTCTTCAGAAACAAGTTCGAAGTACTTTGAAATTGTCTTGATGTATGTATGAATTCCTGAGTGCGTGCAAAACCGCACACCACACTTAGGCTCCATTGGGCCCCATTACACACTCTGGTCGCATCAACCAACCTATTCTTTTGCCAAAGGCTAGGACAGCTCCTAGAGGTGCGTTCCTGATATCATGTGTGGTTGGCCATTCCTCCTCGAAGATCCTCATTCTGAGGTCGGTCAGAGAGGGGCAATCACACAAGATGTGTTTAACCGTTTCATCATCCATGTTCACAGGTTCGACAGAGAGGGGAGTCAGCAAGCTTCATGTTTTGAAGGTGCTTATTTACCTTACAGTGTCCCGTGAGGAGACATGTGACAGTTCGAAGGGCACTTTTGCCAAGCCCTACGAGGATCTGAGCTGTTGCAGCTGAAGGATATTTTAACAATTCTATAAGGGTAACAACTTGTCTTGATATGAATCAAAATGGTTAAGATCGATTAAAAGCATTCCTAAAATACTTAACAAGACAGTGTTTCAAAGACACAGGGAAATAGAAAATGTTTGTTGGTGTATGTCAAAATTGTTGTAGTCGAATTGAAATATCTTTATTTTATTATAAAATGACACAGCAGGTTAAATCATTAAGCGGAATGGTTTCCAGAATATTCTAAGTACACCAAGTATATATTTTTGCATGATTAATGAGTATAACTGACTGAATAGTTGGGTATTTAAAAATTTCAGCTGACATCAATTCATCTTATTGTTCTGCGTTCCCACCAGGGTTTTCTCGATTTTTTCTATTGTGGGAGAGTCCACAATCAGGTTGCCTTCCGCTTGCTGCCTTTCAATTAGGTGTCCTTGTTCCATTTCATCAATGTTTCATCATGTCCTCTTAATTTCTTCTTGATCGCTTATTATTTGAACCGATTCTTTTCTGCAGAGGGTAATGTTTGGTTAGTAACCTCATCTCGTTTCTTTAGATATTTATTCGCTTCAAAATCATTTTTCATTTGGAAGATTAGGTTATATTCATAGTCTGTGTTTCTTTTTACATACTTTGTCCATTCTTCTGCGGTTATTTTCAAAGATCCTTCGCCTTTCCCTGGTTTGTTTTGCAATGTAGTTACGATAAGCTCGATTTGTTAATTCTATAACATTTCCACATTCCTCTTCAAACCATCCCGGTTTCTTCCATTATCGCTCTGTTCCCACAATCTTTCTAGCTGTTATCATGACAGTTTCCTCTAGGTTGTTCCACTACTCATTAATCTCTATTTCCCCCATTTCGCTCAGTCGTTTGTCCAGTTCCCTCCTAATTCCCTTTGTGTTACTTCCTGTTTGATTTTCCTAAGTCAAGTTTATCTTGGAGTTTTTGCCCTTTCTGTGTTTTCTGCTGGATTATCTTGACTCCAAACTTGACCTGTGCCAACATGTGATCCCAGCTTATACCCTGTGGCAACCAAAGGAATGTGAAATAGGAGTAAATCCCTGCGTATCTTAAGGCTAATTAAAAGGGATCTGAAAACTATCATCAATAATATATAGAAAGTAGCAACATTGACTTACTGTTAAACCAGAGGCAATTTTAAACGCCAATAAACATATTCCAGTTCATGAACACTTATTTCCCTTAAGAGGTAGTATTTGCTTTAGTCACTTTATTCCATCGAAACGGGCAAAATATGAGAGCAAAGTGTGACGGCGTGAATTTTCGACCACATATTCAACGCATAACATTTCATGTATATTAAATTTTTCAAATATCCGATGTAGGAATAATACTTTTTGAATATCTAAATTCCTAAACACTCAATAACAGCGTTTAAAGAACATCTTTTATATATTTAATATCCAATTTTTCCTTTCTTTGAATGGTCAAGAATCGTTCATTTTTAAATCCTTCATATTTTTTAAAAGGTTTTAAATCAGCACCCTTACACAGCGATAGGAAATAAACATGGGAATAAACAAGTATATATTTTTACTAGGTCTTTTCATATTGTGTGAAGTGTGGGGTGTTGAAAGTATTTGAAGGAAAGTTGTTGTTGTGGCAAGAAAAGAAATGGGAAATAAAAAATACAGAAAAAGAAATAAGGAAAAAGATAGAAAGGAAAACTCGGGTTGGGTTGGTGAAAAAAAACTTTCATCAATCTAGAGGACCGTTCATATGTCGGGGGCAGAGAAAAATACACCAGTCACGGATAGTTTTGCTCTTCCCGAATGACTGACTCAGCACATGTTACCCCTTAAATTTTTTACGCTACATATCTTGCCCTTCGCTGCCCTGTCCTTTCGCGGGAGCTCCTATAAAATTTTATACATATTAAAGTCCCCCGGATCCGCACATGGTGACTTCGAACTAGCTCGCAATATTGGAAAAATTTTACTGGTTTTGCATTTGCTTTATTTTTCTTTAAACGAAATCGATTTTTTCTTTTCTACTAGTTTATTTTTTTAACTCCTTTTTACTATTTCTTTTGCGGATATCTTTTTATGATACCATTTTTTTATTATGCCATTTTTTATATACATTTTTTTAGATGATACCATTTTATTATGTTACCATTTTCAGACCCCTTTAACGGTTCGTCCAAATAAACCACCCAAAATAAATACGAAAACGGCAAAATATTGAACCCATTCGTATCCGTCGTGAGAAAACATCACCAACAAGTTAAATATAACCCCATCCGCTCACTTGTAACTCAGCCGATTTGTACAGTTCGAAAAAACCTCTATTATATTTGTATTGATAAAAAAAGAGGTCGTGTGAAGCACCTTTTTTTTTTGGCAGAACATCCCAGTAACTTTTCCCCTTTTTTTTCTTTTCGCACCGCATCCAGGTAGCCAAAACGGCATCGAACCCTGTGACCCAGTATATATCAAAACCATTATCGATGAGATCCGACATTTAATCCTAAATGTCATTGTGTCCTGGGAAGGACCTAAATAGAAAAAAATTACCACCGACTTTTTGACTTAGAAGTGTAATCCGTATAAGTTTTTTAGACCACAAAAAAATCTATCAATCATTGTATTGTGCACCAAAAAAAAACTATAAACATTTTTTTCCAATTGGGGTGATTTCTCTTAAATTCTAAACAACTATAAGTAAAATGTATTTGTTAATGGTTTAATTGTTGGGGTTGAAATGGTAGAAATTTTGAAATGACTAAACTTACTTCGGTTACCGTCCCCAAGGTTGTCCCCAATTGCTATGTTAGAGAGGGACACGTCTCCATAATAACCATTGAATTTAACGATAGCCGAGGGTGATCGTATGGTGGTCGTTGGACGGTCATCCAACGTACGGACTGATAACGAGCGAAATGGCCACTCCGGGCAATATCGAGGGACGCTACTACGTGTTAGAAACGTTACCTTAACAGGAAGAGACCGCGAAGACCTTTCACTTGAAGCCAAAACCCAACGGCGACGACCCGAATCAATACAGTCTGATTTGAATAACACCTAACTAGTTTGGTTAATTTCAGAGTTCCATAATATACTTAGCGAAGTGGCCGCGCCCATCCGATAAAATCAACTTTGAATTTCACGCGCAAGTTTATTTCTCGCCAAATTGGAATTGGACGGCGACGCTACGACTAACTTGGGGATACTGGTTAATAAGTTTTGATGTCTCTTTGAATCGGACAAAAGCCGTTTTAGGAATCGTCACGTAAAAGCTGTGTTGGCAAACTGATGATGTTAGAGAGAATGAAGTTAATGGTGAAAGGGGTTGAATTTAGTGACGTTAAAAAAACCAGTTTGTACACGTGGGACGATTTACCAACCAGTTCTTTTTTTTTGGCTCGTGCTTTTAACAAAAAAAATAAAAACTCGTGCTTATTGTACTAGATTAAATTGAAATATTCTAAACAGGCGTTGATGTTTTTTAAAATTATTTCAATTTTGTACATTGTTTTACGCTAGTTGTTTTTACTTTTGAATATTTTGTTTGATTTTTAAAATAGGGGAAATACTAAGAATTTTCAGAAATACTAAATAACAAACGCATCATTGTTTTTAACAAAAACAACAGTTAATAAACTTAAACTATTATTACAGCTTTAATGTTATCACCAGTTCAAAGTTATTTCACATTTTTTGTGAGTGGACACATTTTTTTTGTTCCTAAAAAATTATTAAAGAATAAATTATTAAAGATATACAAAAAATGACAACATTAAAAAAAATCATATTAACGATATTTTTAAGATCCGCGATGTGATATCTATATATCTTAAATTGAAGCTTAATTGCAAGATATAAACATCATAAGATATGGTTATTAGAATTGAAAAAATTATTCATAAAGAAATAATCCAAATTTAAATACTAAAAATATCAAAATTTAAAAAAAATCATATCAGCAAGACTTTTAAGAGTAGTGACATGATATATATCCCAAATTGAAGCTTACAGATTCTAGTTTATTGCAAGATATCAACATCATAGGATATGGTTATTAGAATTTCTTGAAAAAATTGATAGTTAAGAAAGTATGAAATTCATACGTAAGGTATCACCAAATTTTCAAAAAATCATGCCAACGACATTTTTAATAACCGCGATGTGATATATATCTTAAATTAAAGCTGAAATATTCTAGTTTATTGCAAGATATGAATATCATATGCTATGGTTATCAGAATTTCTTGAAAAAACTATCCATAAAGAAATGATCTAAATTTAAATATTAAAAACATCAAAATTTTAAAAAAATCTTATCGGCAATACCTTTAAGAGTAGTATATGATATATATCCCTAATTGAAACTTACAGATTTTAGTTTATTGAAAGATATTAATATCATAGGATATGGTTATAAGAATTTCTTGAAAAAAATCACTAAGAAAGTATGAAATTCATACATAAGGTATCACAAAATTTTCAAAAAATCATACCAATGACACTCTTAATAACCGCGATGTGATATATATCTTAAATTGAAGCTTAAATATTCTAGTTTATTGCTAGATATAAACATCACATGGTATGGATATCAGAATTTCTTGAAAAAGCTATTCATAAAGAAATGATCTAAATTTAAATATTAAAAACATCAACATTTTAAAACAATCTTATCAGCAATACTTTTAAGAATAGTGACATGATATATATACCAAACTGAAGCTTACAGATTCTAGTTTATTGCAAGATATAAACAGCATAGGATATGGTTATAAGAATTTCTTGAAAAAAATCATTAAGAAAGTATGAGATTCATACATAAGGTGTCACAAAATTTTCAAAAAATCATACCTACGACATTTTTAATAACTGCGATGTGATATATATCTTTAATTGAAGCTTAAAGATTCTAGTTTATTGCAAGATATAAACATCATTTGGTATGGTTATTATAATTTCTTGAAAAAATTATTTAGAAAGAAATGATCCAAATTTAAATATTAAAAATATCAACATTTAAAAAAAATCTTATCAGCAATACTTTTAAGAGTAGTGACATGATATATATCCCAAATTGAAGCTTAAAGATTTTAGTTTATTGCAAGATATAAACAATCATTATTAGAAAAAATGATTCATTAAGAAATTATTAAATTCATATATAAGAAAAAACAAAATCGTCAAAGAAACATATCAACAATATTTTTAAGAACCGTGATGAGATATATATCTTAAATTGAAGCTTAAACATTCTAGTTTCTTATAAAATATAATAATTATTAGATTAATAATGATTATTATTTCTTGTAAAAATCTTTAAAGAAAGAATTGCCAAATTTATTTACAAAAAGATAAATTTTTCAAAAAATCATTATAGGTGTGTTTCTTAGAATAACATAATGATATATATCTGTAAATGAAGCTTAAAGATTTTAGTTAATGATAAAACATAAAAACTATAAAAATATGTGTATTAAAATTTCCTGAAAAAATTAAGATAGAAAATGTCAAATTTGTAAATCAAATAAAACTCACTTTAGAAGAATTACACCTACTGCATATTTAAGAGCAAAAATATGATATTTATATTAAATTAAAGCTAAAACATCATGGTTTACGATAAAATATTAAAATGGTTCTGAAAATTATACGACTTATAAAGAGAAATATGGTCTCATTAATGGTAAACGTTGAAATTTTTGAAATAATTCAACATTTTCAATGTCAACAATTTTCTATAATTTTAACGAATAAACCACATTTGTTGCATGTTTAAATAAATCGGTATTAATTATGTTAAAGAATATTATAGTAATAAAAACTTTTTTCCATTTTATTTTCTATTTTGAACCATAAAAAAAGTTAAATTATCTAAATGATTTCAGTAAATTTCAGTAAAAATCCATTAAATCAATTGCTAATCATAAATCGTCGTCTACTTCATCCCCGAAAACATATTTTACGATAACATCCCCTAAAAACCGTCCGAAAATTAAAATAAGTGGACCGTATCGGTTTCAGCCGTATCGCAGTCGTCCGTTCGTTCGGTTCACTTTCGCGTCGATATTTTAAAATAAATAACTTTAAAAGGAATCTATGGGCCGTGGGGCCCAAAATTACCGGCCCTAATCCTTATTTATAACATGGCCGGGTCCCTCGGATGGCCCCTAGAGTTTTTCTAGCGCCGACATACGGCCGTTCGTTCGGACGACCTCCCCCAGGAACGTGCCAACCGTCTGACCAGGACACCCCGTTCCACTTTCGGGGGTGAGTAAGGGAAAGAGGGAAACCGTTCACCCTGTTTTGCATATCGGCCGCACGTTGCTGCCGTTCGGGCACACGGACCGTAATAAATTAAAGTGGACTAAAGGAATAGAACCTTGTTATCTATTCGACTTCAGAAAACCAGCCCCAATAAATGAATATTTGTGGCTAAGATTAAAAAAATTTATAAGGTGTAAAAAAAATTATTGTATTTGAAGATAGAAACCAATTTGGTATTAAGGTCGTGTAAACATTACAATGAATTATCTTAAGTTATTGACTTTGAAGTTTCCTCGGATTGGCGAGAGAGAAGTGGGGAAAATGGGGGGCGGCGAAGAGATGGGGGGTGTTTGCGTAGATTTGCGTGAGCTCAGCCGGTCGGACACTTGTGTTTAAGTTACGGGAGTCGCCATATCCCTTAATTAAACAGTTCTGTTTGAACAGGCAGATTAAATGTGACACAGAACTGTAATCGCGCTTATTGTGGCCGCTCGGTCCCGATCCTGAGGGCGGCTAAGGTGATCCTACACCCTTCGAAGAACCCAACGCTATTCAACAAAATATTACTAACCCTTTCTACCTTCCTAACTTACTAATTATTGATTATTGGTTCATCCTCAAAAACAGTTTCAATAAAAACTCTCATTCTTTTTATATAAACTAAGAGGGTGAAGTAAAATAACATTGACGTCTTTGATATGATACCCAAAGGACTCCAGGTCCA